AATGTGATGTGTTACTGTTAATGGATTTGTAAGTTGTGAACCACCTTTGCATCTCAGGAACAAAAACCACCTGATTATGGTGAATGATCTTTTTAATGCGTTGTTGAATTAGATTTGCTAATGTTTTGGTGAGGATTTTTGCATCTATGTTCCTCAGACATACTGGCCTACAGTTTGGGGTTTTATGTTTGTAGTGTCTTTATCTGGTTTTGGTATAAGGGTAATGCTGGACTTATAGAATGAATTTAGAAGCTTTCCTTCCTCTTCTATTTTGGATTAGTTTGAGAAAAATAAGTATTAACTCATCTTTAAATGTTTGGTGGAATTCACCTGTGAAGCCATCTGGTCCTGGACTTCTGTTTGTTGGGAGTGTTTAGATTACTGATTCAGTTTCTTTGAATTCAGTTACCAGTCTGTTCAAATTTTCTGTTTCTTCCTGATTCACTTTGGAAAAATGATAAGAGTCTAGAAGTTTATCCATTTCTTCTAGGTCGTCCAATTCGTTGGCATATAATCTTTCACAATATTACATTCTTTTGTGTTTCTGTGCTGTTGGTTATTTCTTCTTCTTTTCGGATTTTATTTGAGTCTTTTTTTCGTTTTTGAGGAATTTGGCTCAAAGTTGGCCAATTTTGTTGGTCTTTTCAAAGAACCAGTTCCGGGTTTCATTGAGCTAAGGTGTTCTATTGTGGGGGTTTTTTGTGTGTTGTTTGTTTAGTGTCTATTTCATTTATTCTGCTCTAAATCTTGGTTATTTCCTTCTCTACACTGGCTTTAGGCTTTTTTTCCCTAGCTCCTCTGGGTGTAATACTAGGTTTGAGATTTTTCCTACTTTTTGACATAGTCCTGTATTGCTATAATCTTCCCTCTTAGAACAGCTTTAGCTGCATCCCAGAGATTTTGGATCATTATGTTTTCATTTTCATTTGTCTCCCTTTGTATTTTGTTTCCTTTTTGATTTCCTCTTTGCTTGACCGATTCATTGTTTAGTAACGTCTTATTTAGCCTCCATGTATTTTTGTTCTTTCCAGACTTTTTTCTTGTAGTTTTGAGTTTTATACCATTGTGGTTAGAAAAAAAAATGCATGATAGGATTTCAGTCTAATTTATTGAGACTTGTTTTATCTAACATGTGATCTATTCTGGAGAATGTTCTATATGTACTTGAAAAGAAAGTGTATTCTGCTATTTTTGAATGAAATGGTCTGAATATATGTTAGGTCCATCTGGTCCAGTGTGTCATTCAGAGTCACTGTTGCCATGTTTTTTGTCTGGATGATCTATCCATTGATGTAAGTGGGGTGGTAAAGTCCCCTATTATTATGTACTATTGTCAGTTTCTTCCTTTATGTCTATTAAGAGATGCTTTATGTATTTAGATGCTCCAGTGTCGGGTACATAACTGTTTATAATTGTTAGATCCTTATTGCACTGTTCCCTTTATCGTTCTGTAGTGTCTTTTGTTTTAATGTCTGTTTTATCCAGGTATTGCTGTGCCAGCTTACTTTTTGCTTCCATTTGCGTCATAAATGTTTTTCCATCCTTTTACGTTCAGGCTTTAGTCTGAAGTGAGTCTCCTGTTGGAGATGGTTGCTTTTTATTTCTTCTCTGTTCCTTTTCTCTGTTGCTCTCTTCCCTTGTGGTTTGATGTCTTTCTTGAGCAATATGCTTGGATTCCTTTTCTCTTTACTTTTTGCATATCTACTACCAGGTTTTGGTTTGTGGTTACCATTAGGCTGATAATATGCACATAGCAGTATATATTAAGTGGATAGTTGTTTAAGTTTGCACCCATTCTAAAGTACTAAATTTGTACTCCTTCCCCTGCATGCTGTATGTATATGATGTCATGCTTCATATCCTTTTATTAGTTCCCTTGACTGATTCTTATAGATATAATTGATTTTACTGCTTTTGTGCTTTAACCTCCATATTGGGCTTTTATAAGTGGTTAATCAACTGCTTTTATTATGTTTGGAAATATTTAGCTGTGATAGTTTTTCCTTTCCTAATTTTCTTGCTCCTGAATATGGCCTTTTCTTTCCAAAGAATTCCTTTAACATTTCTTGTAAGGCTATTTTCGTGGTGATGAAATCCTTTAAATTTTGTTTGGGAAACTCTGTCTCCTTCTATTCTGAATGATACCCTTTGCTGGGTAGAGCGTTCTCGTAGGTTTTTTCCTTTCCACCTTTGAATGTATCATCCCACTCCCTTCTGGCCTCCAGGGTTTATGCTGGAAAATGAGCTGATAACTATATGGGGTTTTCTTTGTATGTAACCATTTGCATGATAAATGTTTGTCCATCCGTTTAAAATTCTTTGTCACTACTTTTTGCCATTTTAAATGTGTCTCTGTGTGTTCCTTCTTGGCTCACCTTCTTTAGGGCGCACTTATGCCTCCTGGATCTGGAGGTCTGTTTTCTTCTTCAGATGAGGATAAAGTTTTTACCTATTATTTTTTCAGATAAGTTTTGTGCCCCCCTTTTTCTTCCCCTTCTGGGATCACAATAATTTGAATATTGTTATTTAATGGTGTTGCTGATTCACTTAACCTGTTGTCATTATTTTGTTGTTGTTCAGCTTGGTTGCTTTCCATTATCCTTTCTTCCAGCTGCTTCCCCTATGATTGATTCCCTCTTTTGCATTTTTCATTTCAGTTACTGAGTTGTTCATCTCTGGTTCTTTTTTATATTTGGAGCTACATTCCTCTGTCTCCTAAATCTGTCATCTAAATCTGTTTGTTTCTTTGTACTAGGAAAGTCAGCTGTGGCTCCTGCTCTTGAAAGTAGGGGCCTCATGAGGAAGAGGTCCTGTCACGCCCTGTAGTGCCCTGGCCCCACCAGAAGTAGTTGCTTCAGGGGGTCTCTTAGGTGTGTTGCACGCGCCCTGTTGCTGTGGCTCAGGCACAGCGGCCTTGAGTTCCGTTGGCTGCGGCAGCCCACTTCGCCTGCTGTGGCAGGGTTTCATCTCTCTGCCACTAAGGGGCCAGTCTGGGGCTGCCGTGGGCTTGTAGTTGGATCCGACCAGACCCCTGCCTTCAGCCTGGGTGACAGGGCTGTGGTTATACCAACCTGCAGGGCCCTGTCCCTGCTTCGTCCCCAAGAGCCTTTTATTGGTGGGCGGGGCCGGCAGGCAGATCACAGGCCTGCCCCAGGCCCACTGCTGGGCTGCAGGGGAACTGGTGTGTGTGGTTATCTTCCCCTCTGCCCAGGGCAGGTCGGATGGTGTGAGTCCCCAAGAGAATGAGGATCAGTGTGTGGTGTTAGCAAGGTAGGCGGAGAGTATCTGCGCTGGTTCCTACACGAGTCTGGTGTCCAGGCCTGGGGGGCGGGGGAGGAATGGTGCCCACCGGCTCTTCTGCTCTAGAACAAGTCTGCTAAAGACCCCTGCCTTTCCAGCACACGTTCTGAGATTAGTAAATAAAAAATTAATCTCCTTCCCTTATACCCCTGGTGCCTTTCAAACTGCTGCTTCTGTGCAGTATCTCAGTGGAGTTGTTTGTTATGCTGGGTCTGTAAGGCTGGGGACTCGGTCTCCTATTGCCATTCAGGTCCCCCTCGTTTGGGGTGTGCTCCGCTCCCTTCTCTGTGCTTGCGGTACCCCTCTCACCAGGAACTTGATTCCCTGCTGCGCCTCTGCCCCTCCTCTTCTTTTCCACATATCCTCCCGTCTACAGTTAACTGGGCAAAGTCTGCCGTGTCACTCTTGTGCCGATGTGGCTGTCATCTAGGTCTGTCTGCGGGGGAAGGTGAGCTGAGGACCCCCTACTCCACCATCCTCCCAGAAGTCCTCTACGGGCCCCCTCTTCTAAAGCCCCTATTTACCGGGGGGGGGGGAGGGGGGACATTAAACTGACGTTCTTCCACCCGGCTGGCCCTCAGGACTGCCCAGCACCTATCTTACCCTGCGTCATCTCACACGCACCCCCAGCAGCCTCTGCTTCAGCAGCCGGCCAGCTCACTGAGCACAAGCACTTAGGAGGAGACAGATCCCTGACACACAGCCAGACCACGTGCTCTTCGGCAAGGGGCACAAGGGGTCTTCCTGGCCACAGAGCCTGCCTTACTGCGCCCGATCCCAAGAGATGGGAACAGAGTCCCTGTTTGTAAAGGGCACCCACTGCGGGCCGGACACCAACAGCAATAACCTTGTACCTTACCCTGAACTTTCTCCTGGTCTCACTACCCCTCTAAAGTAAAACTCAGATAAGTTTCCAGAAAGAGCCCCTGCCTCATAGAGGATCCACACTTTGTGTAGCCAGCACGGTACAAGCCCGTCCCCTGCATCAGGGAGTGAATGGTCACCTCGACCTACCTGAGCAGCTGCAGAAACTGCTGGCAGCAGGCCGCAGTGTCCATCTCGGCATACTCACAGAGGGTACGTGGGGACGTTCAGGGTGGGCCGCCTCCCAGGAAGTGCAGTGACCAGGTGCTTCTTACTTGCTTAGTGCCGAAGGAACGTACTCCCTGTCGCTGAACAAGCTCCCTTCAGTTCCATACTCGGCAGGGGCCCTTATCTGTGAGGGAAAAACCAAACTTCAGGAAGAGTTTTAAACATTTACAAACAGAATGGAAACAAATGGTGCTAGACAAGATTGTCCTCCCCATGGGTCCCTAAGAAGTGACACCTGTTCTCTTCACAAGAGAGCAGAGAGGAAGTGAATGGCAAAGAGCATAAGTGCAGTTGATGAGAAAATTAGTAGGTAGCACGCACCCTCCCAAGCCTGGTTCTCACATGTGGGTTAGTGTGTACTACTCATAGATGCATGGACCTACAGCAAAGACTCCTCCCCTTGCTTTAACCTAAGACAGCCGATGGGAATCCCTATCATTTATCAGTCTCTGGTTAATGTTTACAGACTAAGGGAGCTCAGCTCTACATCACTGTCTGGTATTCTTTATACACCATTAAGCATCAAACTACAGGCATCCTGAGTTTTTTAAAATACCTTCACTCAGACTTCCAATTTCACTACTGGCTAATAAGTAAGTCTTCCACAGGTAACAGCTGTAAAACCTGGTCATGATACAAAAAACACTAACATGAAGGCACTGAAGAATGAACTGATGCAGTCATATTCTGGTGAAGAGCCCAGGCTCCGGGCAGCGGAGGTACAAGGCACAAATGCCCTCTCTTTGCTGCTTTTACTCTGGGGTCAGGCTAGATGGTGAGGTTACTGGTCAGAAACTCATAGCCTTTATGCCCTGAGAAGTCAGAGGGCTGAGTTGAGAGCAACTTGGAAGGAAGAGGAGGGAAAGACCCCCCCCCCCCCATTCCCTTTGGCCGCATCTCTAGCTGACTCTCAGCCACAGAGTGGCCACAGGAGCGGAGGGAACTAAAGATAAGATGTGAGCTGTGATTGGAACTTCTGCCCAAGAAACATTTTGAAGGTCGAGTCCAACCAAGTTAATTGTGTACTAAGAAAAAGAAACCACTCATCTGAGAAAAAGAACAGAATAGAGTCTCCACAGTGTGCTATTCATAATAGCCATTCATCACATGCAAGAGACAAAGAGGAAAATGCAGCCCTTTCTCAAGGTCAAAAGGCAGTCAACCAAGGGCAACTCCAGCTGCTCCAGATGTTAGAATTTGCACATAAGGATTTTAAAATAGCTTGTAACTATCAGTGATGTAAAAGAAAATATAATGAATGACAAAATAGCAACAGAAATGATTTTTTTAATGAAATGGAAATAAAACTGAAACAAACATGGGGCACCTGGGTAGCTTAGTTGGTTAATCTTCTGCCTTCAGCTCAGGTCACGATCTAGGAGATCATGAGTTCAAGCCCTGTATCAGGCTCTCTGCTGTCATCACAGAGCCCACTGCGGATCCTTTGTCCCCCTTTCTGTCTTTGCCCATTCATCACTCGTTTTCTCTCTCTCTCTCTCAAAAATAAACTAAAAATTAGATGATCTAGAATGAAAGAGGTGCCTGGGTGGCTTAGTCAGTTAAGTGTCTGACTATTGATTTTGGCTCAGGTCATGATCTCATGGTTTGTGGGATTGAACTGACAGCACAGTGCCTGCTTGGGGTTCTCTCCTTCTCTCTCTGCCCCTCCCCTACTTGTACATGCTCTCTCTCTCTTTCTCTCACTCTCAAACATTTAAAAAAATAATAGAATGAAAAAAATTCTAGATGGCCTTAACAGAATGGAGATGACTGGTAAAAACTCAGAGCAACAGAACTTATCTAATCTGAATAAGAGAAAAGATCTTATTTTTAAAGTGAAAAGAGCCTCAGAGACCTGTTGTTTAATATGAAACCAAGACGGGTATGATAGGATTCTGAGAAGAGAATGAGGCAGGTAAAATATTCTAAGAAATAACAGTCAAAATTTTCCCAAATATGATCCAAGACAAGTTTATAACATGTCTAACTGAACACCAAGCAGGGTAAATAGAAGGCTTCATCATACCCTGATCAAATTACTGAAAGCCAGAGTTAAAGAGCAGATCGTGAAAATGTCAAAAGAAAAGCAATACAATGCACGTAGGGTAACAGCTATTTATTTTATGATCAAGTTTTCATCAGAAACTACCCAAGTCAGAAAATACCAGAACAACGTCTTTTAAATTCTTAGTCCCTCCTTCCTCCTCTCTACTGTCAAACCAGAATTCTATATCAAGTAGAAATACCCTTTAAGAATAAAAGTGGGGGCACCTGGGTGGCTCATTCAGTTGAGCGTCCAACTTCGGCTCAGGTCATGATCTCCTAGTCTGTGGGTTCGAGCCCCACGTTGGGTTCTGTGCTCACAGCTCAGAGCCTGGAACCTGCTCTGGATTCTGTGTCTCCCTCTCTCTCTGCCCCTCTATCGCTCATGCTCTCTCTCTCACTCTCTCAAAAATAGATAAATACTAAAGAAGTACAGCTTTTACAAAATAGAAAAATTAAGTTACAATACCAAAAATAAATGAATATATATTTTTTAAAGGACAAGAAAGGAACAACAAGAAGAAAAACAGAGCAAATCAAAACAAAATGGTAAAGCCAAGCTTAACCATAGCACTGATTATGCAAGACACACTCGTGGAGTCAACAATACAATTAAAATGCAGAAATTATCAGAATGGCTAAGAGTCAGACCCAACCTAACCAAATGCCGTTGAGGTGGTTTTAACAAATGTCTGCAGTTTTTGACATTTCTCCCTGAGTGACTCACTTCTCATACGACTGGCACAAGTGAAGGGGTTTGACTTCTGATACTAGTTTGTGGAAGGCACGCTCCTCCTGCCCTGGCTGCTGGCTCTGGGAAGGCAGCGTCGCGTGGACAGTTGGCGGGGCTCCCGGGAGGCCCGGGTGGAGGGAATCCGGGGCCTCCCGTCAGCAGCCAGCACCCACCTGCCAGTCCTGTAGTGAGTCACCTTTACGGGAACATTCTCCAGCCAAGCCTGAAGACAGCTGGAGCCTGGCCAGCATCTTGATTGCATCCCCAGGCAAGACCCCAAGCCGAAACTATCCACCAAAACTATTCCTAAATTCCTGACCCACAGAAAACACAAGATAGTAATTCTTTAGCATCTGAAGCCACTAAACGTGGAGTCATTTGCAAAACAGAAATACATATCTAATGTATGCATTTATAAGGTTGATAAAAAAAGAATTTAAAATTTCAAAGTTTTTATATAAATCCCAGTTAGCAGGGTACCTGGATGGCTCCATTGGTTAAGCATCTGGCTCCGGCTCAGGTCATGATCTCCCGGTTCATGAGTTCAAGCCCCATATTGGGCCCTGCTGTCAGTGCAGAACTTGCTGCAGGTTCTCTGTCTCCCTCTCTCTGTGCCCCTCCCTGTGCTCTGGCTCTCAAAAATAAACATTAAATAAATAAATTCCAGTTAAAACACAATGTAATATTAGTTTCAGGTTGACAACATAGTAATTCAGTGCTTTCATACGTCACCCAGTGCTCATCACCAGTGCTCTCCTCAATGCCCGTCTCCCATTTTCCCCTCTCCCCACCCCCATCAACCCTCAGTTTCTTTTCTGTATTTAAGAGTCTCTGATGGTATGTCTCCCTCTCTACTTGTAACTTATTTTTCCTTCTCTTCTCCTGTGGTCTTCTGTTAAGTTTCTCAAATTCCACATACCAGTGAAAACATAGATCTTTCTTTCTCTAACTTACTTCACTTAGCGTAGTACCCTCCAGCTCCATCCACATTGTTGAATGAAATCTTGCCATTTGCTTTCTGATCACCGAGTAGTATTCTCTTGTATACATAAACCACATCTTCATCCATTCATCAGTTGATGGACATTTGGACTTTTTCCTTAATTTGGCTGTTGATAGTGCAGCTATAAACCTGCGGGTTATATGTGCCCCTGTGAATCAGCACTCCTGAAACCTTTGGAAAAACTCCTAGTAGTGCTACTCCTGGGTCACAGGGTAATTCTATTTTTAATATTTGAGGAACTTCCACACTGTTTCTGAGAGCAGCTACACTAGTTTGCATTCCCGCCAGTAGTGCAAGAGGGTTCCCCTTTTTCCCCATTTCACCAACATCTGTTGTTTCCTGAGTTGTTCGTTTTAGCCACTCTGACCAGTGTGGGTGGCCTCTCAGTGTGGTTTTGATTTGTGTTTCCCGGATGATGAGCGATGTTGCACATCCCTTCAATATGTCTGTGGCCATCTGCATGTCGTCTTTGGAAAAGTGTCCATTCATGTCTTCTGCCCTTTTCTTCACTGGATTGTTTTTCAAAAGGTGTCGAGTTTGGTAATTTCTTTATAGATTTTTGATACTAACCCTTTATCCAGTATGTCATTTGCAGGGATCTTCTCCCATTCCATTGGTTGCCTTTTAGTTTTGTTGATTGTTCCCTTTGCTGTGCAGAAGCTTTTATCTTTTTCTTTTACTTTATATTTTTGAGAGAGAAAGCGTGAGTGGGGCAGAGGAGTCCTATAATGCTCCCAACTGTATAATGTTTCTGGGTCTGTGTGAAAAGAAAGCTAATCATATTCTCTCCTTTGTTGTAGATTTCCAATGCGCACAGTCAGCAGATGGATGACCTCTTTGATATCCTCATTAAGAGTGGAGGTAGGTCACACGTCCCATCAGAACCTGTCAGAGTGACCTTTCATGACAAGTTTTTGCATATTCTCCTTTAGAGCCCATGGCACATCTCTAAGTAGCGAGAAACATATTTTTCTAATTCCAACTAAATGTACTGTTTTAAATCTGTTAAATTAGGACATTAAAGCAACTTATAAAAATGGAGGAAAAGCCACTGTCTCAGCTTAAAACAATAACACGGTAGATTTATCCATAGATCTATGCCTGTTGAAAATAATAGACCATCTCAAAATAGCAAAGGAGAGCCAAATTTAAATTCCACATTCAAAAACTTCACAACATGTTCTATATGTATGTCACTGGGATGAGATAAAAATGCTCTCCTGACTTCACACGTGAATTCTGTACCAACCACGGGTTACCTAGCTCAGACTCCAGTGACACTGTTAGAATTCAAAGGCAATTTTGAAGCACTTTCTGCAGATAATTGGAAATCTTAGACTTTGTAGTATCATCTTAAAAAGAGCTAAGGGTTGGGGGCGGGTGCCTGGGCCACTCAGTCGGTTAAGCATCCAACTCTTGGCTTCAGCTCAGGTCATGATCTGAGTTTGTGAGTTCCAGCCCCGCATGGGGCTCTGTGCTGACAGCGCGGGGCCTGCTTGGGATCTCTCTGTCTCTCCCCCTCTCCCTCACTCATATGGTCTCTGTCTCTCTCAAAATAAATAAACTTAAAAAATTTTTTATAAAGAGAGAAAGGGAGGTTAACCACATGCAAAAGAAACCAAGGGTATCTCAGCCTCAAACATACTTGTCAAAACAAGTATAAAAAACAGTATTTTAAAAATTCAACAGATGCTCTTTTGGAATAAAGCATTCTCAAGATTTTAAACAATGATCACCATTTTCCCATTCATAGCAGGTACTATTTGGTTTTGAGGACATGGGGAATTCTTGATGTTTGACTAGAGCTCTCTGTGCCAATAGATTTTTCTTTTCCTGAGAACTATACACAAAATAAACTCATAATGTATCTATGCCATGGAAATAAAACAGATAGACATTTCATGGCCTGATTTTAGGATTATTTAAAATGTTTTTTGCCATACAAAGACTTTTTATATGATTAAAAAGAGTAATTTTTACGGCCTAAAGTTGGAAATTAAAATGTGACAAAGTCATCAAATGAGTTATTTCCTACAAGGCATGATTTTTTTTTTTTTTTTTACTGGCAAAGTATCCGGTGAGTACATTATTTTATCCTTTTGGAAACCACCGCCAGTAATCATGAGAACAGAGACTGGAATAGTTGATTATGAGCCTGGTTACTCAGCTCGCGCCGTCAGCGCCGAGAACAACTGCAGGTGCGAGTGCAGGAGGGGAGAAGCCCTGGAGACAGGCGGGGACAGACGCACAGGCGGGGACAGACGCACAGGAGGCACACACGGCTGACGGTCCCCACACGGGAGTCGGCCTGCATGTTCTTTCCCGTCATGCCTCCCAGTCTTTGAGCTCCCACAGCGGTTCCTAAGTCCACTCTTGCAAACGAAACCAATCAGACACCTAAGAAAGTAAAAAAAGTTACTTTATTCAAGTAAATGCATCTATAAAAACACTGCCATCTAAAGCAAACGTGTGTTAGTTTTCTACTTGGTCCAGAGGAGTAACACATAATTAGTGCTTATTAAGACATTTGCCAGATCTTCAAGATTTTGTATAAATCCAGAAAACAAGACAAAAAAGGCAAAAAAAAAAAAAAAAGTGGTCCATCTTCAAGAAGAGGGTCAAAGCAGCTGTGTTGAGCTGGAATTCAGAAATAAAAGATGGCATTGTATCACTTTAGAACTTTACACAGAAAGTCTGTAGTTCAACTATAATGAGAATAGGAAAAAGAATATAGTTAGATCTTTCAGGGTATTAAGAACGTACTTCGTGTCTGCACAGAATGGGGACAGACACTGTCACATTAAGGGTGGCGGGCCGCTGTGACAGCGGATCCAGGGTATCCGACAAGACACGAGCCCTGTCTGAAGCCTGCAGTAACTGGGGACAAGGACCCAAAGATCAAATCAAATCAGTCGCACCATCAGCTCCTCCCAAGCGGTATATAGCTGCTGGTAATGCTTATTGCTATTACTGATGAGAGAGCATATCAGAATGTTAAAAACTTAAAATGTTATTCAGCTAAAAGGAGCCATCATCCTACAGGTTATCAAGGACTCTGTCTGATCCGACCAGCAGCATTCTCCTCCTGCCCCGACGGTGCACTGTGTAGGGGTCCTCACAAGATAGCAGAGTAACTGTCCTGATAATTAACAAACACGTTTAAATAGTAGCAAATCATTACTTACTAATCACTTCAACTGTTTTGCACAGAGATTTCCCTCCCTATAAAAGAAGAGCCTTCTCCTATTTCCAAAATGAGACCAGTGACAGCCAGCATCACCACGATGCCAGTCAACACAGTGGTGTCCCGGCCACCACCCCAGGTCCAGATGGCACCACCTGTGTCCTTAGAGCCCCTGGGCAGTTTATCTACCAGCCTAGAGAACCAGCTAGAAGCTTTCCTGGATGGAGCTCTCCCTTCGGCCAATGAAACTGCTCCGCTGCCAAGCAGTGGTGACGACAGAGAGCCCTTCTCTCTGATCGAGGACCTCCAGAATGATCTGCTGGGCCACTCGCACTCCCCCATGGAGACTTCGGAAGCTCAGTTCGCTGCAAGTACTCCCTGTCTGTCGCTTGACCTTTCCGACTCAAACCTGGACAACATGGAGTGGCTGGACATCACCATGCCCAACACGTCAGGACTCACCCCCCTCAGCGCCACCGCTCCCAGCATGTTCTCCACTGACTTTCTAGATCCACAAGACCTGCCGTTGCCATGGGACTAACGTCACAGATTTCCCGTCCGAGTTCATGACGTCTAGGAAGAGGAAGGGCATTCGGATAAGGGCAGTTTTTAGAGACAGATACATAGCGGCGTTGTTGCAATTAAAATATGTTGTCATAGAAAAGGGTGGCAAGATGGTCACAGCCTGGAAGCCACATGTGCAAACATGGCATCGCCTCCAGCAGTGAATTTCTACCGTTAACATGGCGCAGGGCCCTCGGAAAAGTCTCTGCTCAAAGAAGACTCCTTTGTTTCTCTAGACTTGAGTACAGAACGTGGAGTACCTTTAGACAAAGGCGGGACAGAGAGTGCCGGGTGCAGGAGAGCGACCCGAGGACTCTCTCCCCACCACCTTTACCCTCTGTGGTCACTGTAAGACCCCGAGTAAAAGGCAGGCAGCCCCGCTCACAAGACGGTGCCAGGTGCGGGAGGCGGGAGGCCACTGCGCGCGCGGCGCCTCCTACAACCGGCCTGGCCTCGGCGGCACTGAGCCCCAGCCGGGCCTCACGCCATCCCCGCTGCAGCCTTCCGGTTCCATCCAGAAAGCACCACCATTTGTTTTGTGTTGTAGTTTATTTTGTGATTTGGGGAATCTTACTTTAGATCCCAGATTTCAGTTTAAATGGATGATCTTTCACCATCACCAGACAATGTATAAAATACTGTCATAAACCACTGTACAAAGTCCACATATAACGATAACACTGAAAATTCTATTAGCAACCCTCGGGTTGATTAGATTGATTTTCATGTGTATATTAGCCATGTGTATGTACGCTCTGACATTGTGGGATGTACAGCCTACACTGGGGTAAGGAATTGGGTATCCAGTGGTTCTACTTGTTTTAATAACTCGAATATTTCTAGAGTACTTGAGCCATGTGTATTTCTGTATTTAAAGAAAAGCTGACTGATTTCAGGTAACCAGACCCATCTCAGAGAACCCAGGAAGGCTCCAGTGTGAACCATCCTTCGGAGCTGGTGAGTTGCAAAGAAGGGGCAGGAGGCTGTCATCAGCCAGGACATTCCTGCGGCGGCTCCGAGTTAGACTCTCACCAGGCGGGCCCCCAGCCCCCAGCTCTGGCCGCCTCTTCCGTTGCTCTTTCCTGTCATTTTAGAGGCTTGTAACTGGACGGCATACCCGAGCTCTCGCCATACTATCAAGCCGAGGACTGAGAAACTGGAGGTTTTATTCGTTTTGTTTTTTTTTTAATATAGAAGTTATCACGTTTGTTGAGTAGTTTGAGTTTTCTAAAATGCCAACTATCATGGGACTTCCAAAATTATGTCAAGCTAGTCATTTAAGTATACGATAAAGTGTACATAACTGAAGAAAAACCCTGAAATCTACCAAAAAGTGTGAAGGTGTTTGTTAAATACCATTGTCTCACTTTGTGTGAGCCCCGGGGGGTCCCGTCGCTTCCTCTGGGCCATTAAGTGGGCCTGTCCCCCCGGCGACAGGGAGGAGCCAGCCTGACCCATTACTTGGAAAGAACTGAGGACCCACTGCTGGGTTTGCGTTCTGCCACAGAGCTGACCTTATTTCAGATTTTTAGTTTGGTTTCCAGATTTTACTCTCGGCAAGGCAAGTCTGTGTTCCCGGTATGCAGTCGCCCAGAACACTGGAGCCCTCTGCTCACTGGCGCTTCCCAACTTGAAAGCACTTCTGAGTGGTTCAGGGCAGAATTGGTCATGCTCGGTGTGGTCCGAGTGAGTAGTTTAAATGTTTAGGAACTGGTCAACCAACGCATGGACTCTAGTAACTTTGTTAACCAGAACGCATGCGCGTGAGCAAGGTCAAGGGCAGCAGCCACCTTCCGCAAAGGGCCCGTCTCCGAGGACAGGGCTGTTCGCTCGGGCAGGCACTTCTCTCGGGAGCTCGTGGCTAGGGGCCTTCTGGGGTGCATCTAGTCCGCGCATGGACTGAGCATCGTCTTTATTCAGATGTGAACAGCTTATTAGATCACACCAAATATCCGTGGGACTGCAGCAGGCAGCCGATCAGCCCGTGCTGCGGCTCCCGTCCACCTCCCGCTTCTGTCGTCCTGAGCAGCGAGCATGGGGTCCAAGCCCTCAGCCCCCCTCATTGCTTTCGTAAAGTAGGGTCTGCAACATGCCCCAGGAAGGCTGCTCTCCAAACAAACAGACACACTGCCGTGCAGAGAATGCCACCTCCCGGGCCTTTCTGTCCACCATGAAGTGCAAGGGCGGCCACGTCACACGTGTGCTTACGCCGTCACATGCAGGGCTTCCTCGGAAGGGGAAGCGTGGGCTCTCCCATCGGGAGCTCCCCTGGCCCCCCCGCTCGCGCCGTTCTGTAGGGCCCGCCTGTCCCGGCATCCGTGCACCCAGGGTGCCAGCTCCGTGTCCTGGGTCACAGTGAGGGCACAGCGTGACGCGACCAAAGAGGACATGGTAATCAAGCCCCCCCACCTGACTCGGTGGACGTAATGCTGAGGACAGCAGGAGGGGCGGTCACCACAGAGGACTGTGTCTGAGGGGAGTCTCACAGCCCTCGAAGCCCAGGGCAGAATGGCTGGGGGGGGGGGGGTGTTCAGTGTGCACGCGGGGTAGTCTAGTGTAGGCCGGGTAGCACTGTACGTTGCCTCGCAGAGTACTGTTTGCCAAGGAAACAGCCAGCTCCCGGACATGCATGTCTCCTCACACCCCGTCTTCCTTCCCTAAATGTTCCTGAAACGCGACAGTCCCAAGCCTGCCTTTCGAGTGTCTGCAGGTATCAGTCACGTCATGGGGGCCGGACGAATCCAAAGTTACCCCAACGCATCTCCGCTCTCTGGAAACCCGGGGCACATGGGCCCCTCGTACATCTCCACAAAGCATGTCTAAGGAGCCACTGCAGACAGGTCATGAGTGGCTCACGTTCTAGCATTTTCCTGAATTGTGCGATCTACTGTACAGTATTTCCCACGTATTCGTACAAAGATAAAGTCTCAGTTCGTGGGATGTCTTGCTCAGATGCTTTGTGTTTCAGAGGACCATTTTCATAGCACTAGAGAGGTCTCATTTCCATTTCCTTTCTCAACTGCACAGTTCTGGGATCCGTGTCGCTGAGGCTCTAGGAGGTGTGGTTTCGGGACCGGGGTGCAGGCGGCCTGCTGCTGCCTCCAAGCTGCCGCCTACTGAAAGCAAAGTCATGGCAGTAAGATAGCGCCTCGTAACTGTGCAGTCAGCAGGCCCGCGGGCCGTACTGGCGGCGTGTTGCCCATTCTGGCACCAAAGTTCACTCAGGCTCCCTCTGCCCTCGATCCCAGATCATTCCAGGCCACATGGCTCTCTTCAGAGCCCTTTCAGAATTCCCAGGCCGAAACCAGCCCCTAGACCTGGCCAAGCAGCCATCCCCACAAACGGGACAGTCCCTCGAGTCCGCGAACAGACTTGGCCGCAGAGAAGCGGTGAAGGCCACGGGCCCGCCTGGCCTCACCAGGCTCCTGCTGGCCGTCGGGGCCTGTGGCACCACCGGGGACTTTTTAGAGAAGTTTGGCGAGAACAACCGTTCAGTGTCTACCAGCAGAAGGTCAGGGGTCCACTGATCCCGATCTACAAGTGACCCTCCATCTCTGCAGCGCTGTGCAGCCTGACTCCTGGCAACAGAGCGGAACACCACACAGACCGTCCGCCACCGGGGAGGCCACGCAGTTAGCCCACATCATCAGAGAACATTAACTGGAAGGTCAGGTTTATCAGGGAGCACAGCTTTCAAGTGCAGACGTGTGTATTTGGAGAGCATCCTACTCACATTTCAGCTCGTCCTCTCAGTGGTTTCGGTCAAAACTGGAAAGTAACAAGACGCGTAGCTCTCTGTCCTGGTCCCACCCTTGCTCGCTCACCGGTCCGTCCCGGCTCCCCTTCTCGTTTGTGAAGTGACTGCCTGCATGACACTAAAAGGTCTCTGTGTCTTCCCCCCGCGCCCGTGCCTGCAGTGCTTGAGGCATACTTGGCACCACTGCAGTCTCCCTACCTGCGCTCAGAGCTGACTCGGGGCCTGCAGTTCGTAAAGCTGCACATGTTTACAGAAGGGCGCTTACCCTCCACACTAACACATCGCTCTGCGCATCAGTAGCGGGAAAGGCCCCAGCTCTGTGACACGAGGGTGGCGGTCTCAGGCCAAAGGTGCTGTCTGGAGTCAAAATAGGTCACTGGCGATAATCAACACAGCTGTTGTGCTTAACAGAGCTTTGTGCCAACTATGAAGACAAAGTTTTAACCAAGTTCACAGGATCACCGAGACTCGTAACAATTACCTCTCTACAGAAACTTGCTAACTTGGTAGGAGGAGGGAACATTTAGGGAAGGGTTTAGTATCTACCAAAAGTACTTAACCTCAAGTAACCAGTAGTAATGCAAACTTGCTTTAAAGGAACCAAAGGCATTGCCAAGTATTTGCCAAAAGGAGGCACTTTTTATTTAAAATTTGAGACTAATGAGCTCTCAAGAATCAGTCCCAAAAAAGGTATTATCCATTTAAGGTTATAATTTTCACAAAGATGTAGATATTCCTCTGTTGTTTTCATGTAAAATAGTATAGATTTGTTTTGTTGGTTTAAGAAGAATGCATATTTAGTAGTAATACAGAATTTCTTCCTAAGTAGATTAGTTTCCTTTTTTTCTTGCTTGCAGCAGAAACACAGCGTGATAGGTGTTTCTCTTCTTATTTTCATTGTCACATCATGTCTTAGCATCTCACTTTATGAAAACAAGGAGAAAGATACCGATCTGCAGAGCCCCGCGTACTAAAGCACTCGCCTAATAAACAAAAAATTATGGCAATCGGGGGTCCATTCGTGTATTGCCTTTATGTTGTTTCTTAAAAGAAAAAACCATGATGCCTTTGTATTTGCTGTTTGCACCCCTGAAATCAATTCCGTATCATGTCTGAACGCCATACATTTTGCACATGTACTGTACATAGGTAACGCATACTGTATTTTTATATGTGTGCACACTGCTCATCAGATCTTTTGTACATAGTGGCAGTATCGTAGCCGATCGGGAAACGTTTGATATCTCAGCAATTTTGCATTTTTTGTGTCTCAAATAAAAAACATTTTGATGTACTACGGTTCTTGCTGTGCAGGGGGAGGGCCACCCCTGTGGGTCGGGACAGCCACCGCAGAGCTGGGCGCGGGCGTCGGACAGGACCCCACCTTCAGATGCACACCTCACAGGCCAAACTATTAGCTCACTGAGGTGAACTCTCGCTCACACACCAGGTGGGCCGCCCTCCCCCAAGTCCAGAGACGGGGGAGACAACACAGAAATCGGGACTGGCCAGACTTGAACATGGCATGATTTACACCAAAGTCGTGTTCATTCTTCTAAGGAAACTGTGACGGAAAGATAGGATCAAGCACCTGGTTCTCCCCGGGGGGGGGGGTGATGCGGACATCTGTGCACGGTGAAAACACACACACTTTGATGGCAGTAAATGCAGCAACAAAATTCCTCAAAGACCCAGATACTCCTTCAATTTAACCAAGTTTAAAAGGAAAAAAAAGACACATACACACACACACACACACACACACACACACACACACACCACTACAAGGTGTTTTTAGAGACCATACAAAATGGTCTTTAGAATTAGGTATTCTTTTAGTAAGATGGCATTTAATTTTTAACCCAGAAGCCCGTGGTTAAGATAAAGCTTTGAGGAAAACAGCATTATATTTTCCTCCTTGCTTTGGTGAAATAAAATAGTGATGAGCACACGTGAGTGCAAACCGTACCGTCCGTGTCGATACCTGATTATGACACGGGCCCTGTGTCCGCCACAGACCGATTCCCTCTGCAACGAAAATGGGCATCAACTGTGACACTGAGGGACCAGGATAGCAGCCTCAACAGATCAGTAAGTACACGGTACCTCCAAAGGGATATAACGTTGTCCCCCTGTCCCCTCCCCCAACTGCAGGGAGAGCGCGCGCCGTCACCATGCGGAAGTGCCCCAGCCTTTGAGGAGAGGCCACGGGACACAGCAGGGAGCTTTAGGGGAGGCACACGCAAGACACGGTGTTTACACGTGGAAAGGACGGTGCAGGCAGAGCGCGCCGGCCGGGCGAGCTCGGGGTGAACAGGCCCCGGGGGCCAAGGCCCTGCTCTGCGCCCGGCCACAGGCTAGGTGCGCGAGTCTGGCCACAGGACACAGTCACAGAGAAAGTCTGAGAAACAAGGTCTGGAAAGGGAGGGGGCAGCGGGATCCCCCTGGGGGGACCACTCTGGCAGCGCTGGGTCATAAAGGGCCTTCGAACGCTGTTCAGATGCTGCACACGGCCCTCCCTGAGCATCTTTAAAGCCTGGATGCACATTTGCTCCAGAATCGAGGTGAGCACCCCATCTGTAAGCGCGGACACACAAGTTTAGCGACGGCTGGCCATGCACTGAGCCAAGGCAAGGCCGACTCCGTGCCAGGTGCGGCTACGGGTCACCGACCCTTGCATGCGGTCACTCGGCCCTCCCGAACGTTTCTCGTCACCTAGCGACCATTCCCCCACTGCTCCTCCCGCACAAAGCTTCGCTTCTGATGAGTCTGATGGTTACTGATTTTACCCTAATTCACCTTCCAGAAAGACACCTCACCTTGAGATCCTGGCCGTCTTTTCTGCTAGTTTTTGTGGCAAGTGAAAATCAAACCCCATTGCGTGATTAGGCATAAAAACAAGATGCTCATCGGGGCGCCTGGGTGGCTTAGTCGGTTAAGCGTCCGACTTTCGCTTAGGTCATGATCTCGCGGTTCGTGGGTTCGAGCCCCGCGTCGGGCTCTGTGCTGACTGCCAGCTCAGAGCCTGGAGCCTGTTTCAGTCTGTGACTCCCTCTCTCTCTGACCCTCCCCTGCTCACGCTGTTTCTCTCTCTCTCCTAGAAATAAATAAAACATTAAAAAAAAAATTAAAAAAAAAAAACCTATTCTTTAAAAAAAAACAAAAAAAATAAAAAACAAGATGCTCATCAACTTTCTGAACGGCCTCTTGTTGGATAGACTGTCACAGATCGTCCCGGGAAGGGACTGCGGACACAGCCCAGAGGGTGGTCAGCCTGGTGGACTCACATAGCACAGGAGACTCGAAAGCATCTAAAACCCAAACGAAGCAAATGCTGGTGTCGTTAACTGATGAGGAGGAGGGGCTTTTATTCAGGTTGATAGTTAAGAATTCTAAGTGTTTCCGGGGCGCCCAGGTGGCTCAGGGGGTTAGGCATCAGACTCTTGGTTTCCGCTCAGGTCATGATCTCCCAGTTCATGAGTTTGAGCCCCAGGTGAGGCTCTGCCGACAGCACAGAACCTGCTTGGGATTCTCGGTCTCCCCCTCCCTCTCTGCCCCTCTCGTGCTCATGCTCTCTCTCTCTCTGTCAAAAATAAATTCAAAAAAAAAAAAAAAAGAATTAAAAGCAATTCCCATCAGAGACTCCAGGATAGGCCTTCGAGGGCTTTGCCGTGCTCCCTGTCCCTGCCGCGTGGAAGTCAAGCCATGCGAAGCCGAATGGCAAACAACGCCATCTGCCCCTGACGGTCTCTACACAGAGTCAAGTTACAGTGGTTTTGTTACAACACGTGTCTAAGCACCGGAAAAGGTCTGCAGAGCTGTTCAGACAATTAGTTTTACGTGCTCTACTCAAGTTCTGTCTGTGAAGCAGCTTGGAGGGCTGACCAGGATGTCACATTCATGAGAGATACGGAAGCCACAGTGGGCAGACCAGGAAAAGGTACCACAACCCAAAGCTACTTAACCCTTCTCCCCACGCTGCTCGTACACGGTGCCAGCGAATGGGACCGCAACCAGGGGCAGAAACACAGTCAACACTGCAAGATCCCAGACCCCGTGCCAAACGCTGTATGTGTATGAGTGTTACCTCATTTAGCCACAAGTCTGGGAGCTACGAACTCTGATCACCCCCATTTTACAGATGTGGCAACGGAGGACAGGGAGGGGAATGACTTGCCCAAAATGACAAAGAAAGCAGAGCACAGATCTGAGACCATGCTTCTGGTCCCCCAGAACCCAGACTCTCTCTGCAGACTTGATGCCCACAAGGCTTCACCTCCATTCTGATTTACTGCAAATTCACAGCTGACTGACTACATCAGTCGAGGTTCACCCCAACTGGGTGACTCTCAAGTCCCAACCTCACACATTTCACAAAGCAGCTACTGCTAGGAATGGCATGTGGCATTCCCGGCACGCGTTTCCCTGGCCAGCCAGCTACAACCTGGATCACAAGGCTGGACGTGGTCCATGAACCCCACTGGCCAGGCCACACACACCGTCAAACGCTGCCTGTCACGGCTGGGACTTCTGTAGCCACATAAGCACATCCCAAAGCCCCAGAGTTTCCGAACAATCTCAGAACACCTAGTCGAGTCGAAGATGCAAACTCTGTGACTCAACTCTTCTGGTACACAGCCTTGAGAAATGCCCCCACCCCTAGGCAGTCAGGGGCCAGAATGAACACGAAGGCATTGTGTTTACAAACAAGAAAAACCCCACATACGCCTTTCAAGTGGAGAACTTTCAACATGGCAGTTTACATAAATGAACTACATGTGTCCAGGTACAAGAATCAAAAACAAAACGCTTAGGAGAACAAAGTGCAGGATGGAAGAGACATTAAGTAACATTTTTTTGTTGTTTTTGCAGGCGGGAGGGAGTAGCCCAGGGAGAGGGAGAATCTTAAGCAGGTTCCACGCCCAGCACAGCGCCTGACATGGGGGCTTGATCTCACCTGAGCCAAAATCAAGAATCAGAGGGTTAACCAACTGAGCCACCCCGATATCCCTCGAGTAACATTTTCAAACAAGAATGCTGTGTGGTTTTCTATACATAAAGATGTAAAGTATAAAAATATGGCTGGCAGGGGCGTCTGGGTGGCTCAGTCGGTTGAGCATCCGGCTTCAGCTCAGGTCATGATCTCACGGTTCGTGGGTTTGAGCCCCGCGTCGGGCTCTGGTTCTACGGATTCTGTGTCTCCCTCTCTCTGACCCTCCCCTGCTCACACTGTCTCTCTCTCTCTCTCTCTCTCTCAAAGATAAATAAAACATTTAAAAAATATATGGCTGGTAAAGACATGTCCATTTCAAGAGTCCGAATACTTCTGGAAAGAAAAGGAATTAGATAGTAGTAGGTATAAAGTGAGTTTCAGTTAATACTAAATATTTAATTTCTTCATCATTTTATTTAATAATTCCATAGCCATATAGAAAACCATTAACAATTTCTTACTGGCAGTTGATTTCTTTATTCTCCCCTATTCTGTTCTTTGAGTTGGAAATATTTTGTTTAAAACAGTTTTTAAGAAAAAGTAGAAACAACTGTATGCCAATAAATTAACTTAGATAAACCAAATTCCTAAAAAGACACAACTATCAAAAATTAACTCCAGAAGAAATGAGAAATGTGAATAGACCTATAACAAGTACAGAAACTCAATTAATTTTTAGTTTTTTAAATTTTATTTTTTATTTTTGAGAGAGACAGAGCACGAGTGGGGGAGGGGCAGAGAGAGAGGGAGACACAGAATCTGAAGCAGGCTCCAGGCTCTGAGGAGTCAGCACAGAGCCCGACGTGCGGCTCGAACTCACGAATTGAGAGATTATGACCTGAGCCGAAGTCAGACACTTAACCAACTTAGCCACCCAGGCTCCCATGAATTGATTTTTAAAAACTACTAATAACATGGCTTCACTGGTGAATTCTACCAAAAATTCAAAAAAACACCAATTTTTCACAAACATCTTTGAAAAAAGTAACTCCTTCTATCAGGGACCATCCTGACACCAACACCAAGACATCACAAGAAAATAAAACGAAAAGACCAACACTGCTTAGGAGTATACGTACAACATCCTAAACAAAAGACTAGCAAACCAAATCCAACAACATACCGAAAGTATTATCCACCAGGACCAAGTAGGGTTTATCTCAGGAACGTAAAGTTGGTGTAACATCTGAACATAATTAACGTAATGCACACTATCCAACAGAAGGTACGAAAGCTATATAATCATAGCAGATGAAAAAAGCATCTGACAAAATTCAGTCTCCCCTCATGATAAAAATAGC